TAACTGGGATGACCTCATTCCCGAGACGATCTCAAAACAGTGGCTTGCACATCGCTCAGAACTACAAAAATTGGAAATGCTAAAGGTTAATCGCTGGCTTGGCTGTGGAACGCTTGGTTTAGTAACCGAACTTCACGTATTTGCCGACGCTTCAGAACGCGCTTACGCTGCCGTTCTGTATGCGCGCACCGTTCAAAGCGACGGCCATATCGCGGTCGCCCTAATATCGGCCAAGTCTAAAGTAGCGCCAATAAAGCCAACTACACTACCTCGTTTGGAGCTTTGTGCAGCGCATCTCGCTTCCAAGTTAGTGAGAAGCGTGTTAAATAGTTGGAATGATCTCCGCTATCCGTTGTACGCTTGGACGGATTCAACTATTACCTTGGCATGGCTGCAAGCACACCCCAGCAAATGGATGACATTTATAGCAAACCGCGTCGCTGACATCCAAGAGGTACTACCGCCTGAGTGCTGGAATCACGTCCGCTCCGAACATAATCCTGCAGACTGTGCGTCAAGGGGTATACCTCCGGCTGATTTATTGAATCACCAACTGTGGTGGACGGGACCTGATTTCCTGCTGAGCAGTAACCAGTTCTGGAAGCAAGCCGCAACAAAGCAGCACACTACCGAGGTTGGTATGCGCAACAAGGTTCCCGCTCATGTCGCGACTTCCGACTGTCATTGGCCAATGATAATGCACTACTCATCGTTCTCGAAGTTACGACGCGTTTTTTATGTGATAAGATTTTTACGCCATGTTCGAGCTAAAGTTCAGCGCACCATTCAAAAGCAATACGGGCCTCCAAGCTGTCAGGAGATATTTGAAGCCGAATTACGTTTGATAAGGTATAGCCAACGTTTCTATTTTTCTAACGAAATATCTTTTTGCAGCGCAAAAAAGCCTCTCCCACTTCGCAGTAGCCTTTTGCGCTTAGAGCCGTTTCTCGACAAAAACGATGTCCTACGTGTTGGAGGTAGGTTAAAACACGCTGAGGTCTCACCTGATGTAAAGCATCCAATCATCTTGCACAAGAGCTGTCCGATAGCAAAGTTAATGATCTCCGACATACATAAGTTTACGTTACACGCTGGGCCTCGTATAATGCAAGTCATTTTGCAACGCCGATATTGGGTTATCGGTGCTCGTGGCCTGATTCGTAACGTATATCACAAATGTATTAAATGCATATGTTTGAATCGAAAGCTTGCTATGCAATCGATGGGAGATCTACCCGCTTCCAGAACCAACTACGCTCGTTGTTTCACTCGCTCTGCGGTGGACTTCGCTGGTCCATACATGTACAAGTTTACGCACGGCAGAGGAGCGAAGTCTACTAAGGGTTATATTTGTTCTTTTGTGTGTATGTGCACTGGCGCTATGCACTTGGAATTGGTTGGTGACTTGTCAGCGCCAGCATTCCTCAACGCCTTTAAAAGATTCGTTAACCGCAGAGGATATTGCAAGGTCATGTTCTCTGACAACGGCACAAATTTTGTCGGCGCTGAAAAGGTTCTGCGTAATAATTTTCAACAATGCATGTCAGATGAGAGACTTCGTACATTTTTTGCTGGTTCGAACATCGAGTGGCGTTTCAATCCACCGGCTGCACCCCATATGGGAGGATACTGGGAGACAGGTATTAAGCGGATAAAGTATCACTTGAAACGTGTTTTGGGCGAAACTTTGTTATCGTATGAAGAGTTCAGTACGCTACTGACAGAAGTGGAAGCCTGTGTTAACTCCCGCCCACTATGTGAGAGCTCGACAACTGCAGGAGACCTCGAAGTTCTAACTCCTGGGCATTTCATAATTGGTGAACCGCTGAAGTCGATCCCAGAGCCTGAGGGTCAAGGGTTCTGGGGTAATCTTCATCAACGATGGCAAGCAATATCAACGATCAGACAACATTTCTGGCGCCGTTGGAGAGATGAATATCTGACAAGTTTACAGCGTCGATCAAAATGGTTTCGACCTACACGTAACTTTAAAGAAGGCGACGTGGTCGCTGTTTTCACTGAGAATACTCCTCCGACGAAATGGGTACTTGCTAGAGTCATCAAATGCCACCCTGGAGCTGATGGACGTGTGAGAGTGGTCACATTGAAGACACCAAACGGGGAACTAGTTCGACCGATTGTGAAACTGTGCCTTTTGCCGACGAAGGGCGACTTGTTCTACGAAGAAGACTCATAGACTACATATGTAGATATGCGTGCGACAACCCATTAACTTATGTATTTTGTATTGTTTGCTAATTTGCTTAATTTCGC